CCCCCCCCCCCCCCCCCGCAACAACACCAATTTCAGCTTCAACCCAGAGGACCACTCCCGCCCCCATCCTCAACACCATCTACCCCAACAGCTGCCCCACCCTCAACATCCATCCGCCTCACCAGCAGCCGCCTCTCCTCAACAACACCGTTGTAGACTATGTCCTTGAGCAACCCCTGAGCATTTATTTCGCCTTGAACACTGCGGCTTTGCTTGACTTGGTGCTCTACTAGGGGCAGTCCTTCACGCAACCGCGGCGCTCCTCTGCCATCTTCTCGGGACAGGCTTGGCCGGACCCTTGTGGGTGAGTGATGATCTCGTCCACCCAGATCTGGAACATAGACGGGACAACCGCGAAGGCACGGCACGTGAAGCAATGGTTGAAAAAATCAGTGGATGTGGACAAAAAGACAAAATAAATTTCAGTAGCGAGTCTCGGGAGGTGCATAACAAGCCATCGATCTCTCTTCCTCTCTCTGTGTCCACCTCCGACTTCCTCTTGTCTAACAACCTCATTGCGGGCCAAGACAAACACCATTACTCGCACAGAAGATAACGAGACATACCGCTGGGTGCTGAGTACAAAAATCAAAACTCAACTAACCTAACCAACGCCGGCGAAGTCGACGACAATTCGAAGACATTCAAGAATGTGCCCCACCCAGGCTTCACCGGGCATCCTCGGTACGCGGAAGCAAACAGCTGTCGTGGAACTCGACCGAAAATACGACCACACAGTGCACAGAAAGCCCGCGATGCCTGGAACCAAGTCTGGGATCCATCCGTGCCCTGGTTTCGTCTTTGCGAGGAAGAACGTCGATTCCTAACCCCAACTCTAAACCTCCAGAGTCCTACAACAGCAACAGAAGCGACAAAGATAGACGATGAAGGCGACGTTCGAACCACTCGGCAGCGTGCGGCCGGCAGGCAGCCTGGCTGCCCGCCAGGCGCGCCCGGCATGGTGGGGGACCACCCTCACCTCGTGCCCCTCCGCGGTGCTCGGCTCGGACTGGCCGGTCGGGCACTCGGCATCACACTCCTCGACCCGCTTTACCGCGGTGACGCAGTCCACGTTCGCCTCCGCTTCTACCGCAGGCCCGCCCTGGTGTAGCCAAGGGAACGCAGCAACGTAATCGCGGGCAGTGCCGTGCGATATAGAAGGAGGGTGGGTAAGCGGGTGAACCTCCTTCAGGAGAAGCGCGCGAGGACGCGCTCTTCAGTGTTGGCCTTTCCGTTCCACCTCCTTCCCGCATCCCTCAGACCTCGCACCGACCCACATCGACAAAGGTGGCGACAATTGAGGGTGAGGGCTGGGAAAACAACTACCTGGTGAACACACAAGCCAGATAGATTCCATTCAAATGCTCTGACCGCTAGGTACTCGAGTGAGTCCAGGCAGATTCGGTCGGCGGGGGGTCAAACGGTGGTGCAAAAGTGTCTACAACCGTCTTTGGAAACTCATGTGACATTGCACATCAACGTACGGTGGCCACGCGCTGAATTGTCAACGGTGGCGCAACTGCGATGTTGTTGATGAGAAAATCAATGCGACGCACATGCAACAACCACAATGGTGAAAATATAATGCTCCCCGCTTTGGGCCATCACAACGAAAATAAGACAACGAAACCAAACGAAACAGCATGAAAACACACAAGAGGCACACCCAATACTTTTGCACACCTTGGCACCAGCTCGGCCTCCGTCCGATCCCCTGGAGTCAGCATGATAGTCGCAAGCGCCGTCCGCAAAGCCCACCACGTGGTTGTCGTAGTCGAACACGACGTTGTGGTCTCGGAACAAGATTGCGCCCAGCTCGCCACCCATTGACTCCGTCAAGTAGATCCTGCCACATTTTCAGAAGGCGGGTGTGTGGTTTGTCGCACTTCGAACAAACGATGTATCTACCATAACCCCTTTATTAATGATCCCCGATGCATGTCGATGCCACCGACACAAGCTCCGGACAACGAAAAAATAAGTGTGTTTTTTCGCCATCTTAACCATCGAGCGAGACAGCTAGGCCTCGCCACTTTCTTTTCATCCTTCGTCGAGCGTTTTCACGCTTAATGTTACAAGGCTCCCCTTCGGGAGTCAGGTGGCTTGCCTCCCGGGGGCGACGCAAGAGGGCATGGTCAATGTCATCGCGGTCGCATCGTTGCACCTCAACGTCATGACGTTCGGTGCCTGCAGAATTTGCCCGCAATTTTCATCATGTGCGGGGTATTCTTTTTTTCTCGCCTTTTCGGGTGTGCGTGCGTGTGTGCTTTTAGGCTAGTGGCGTCTTGCTGCAGGTCCTGCTGCTGTAATCCGCTGTGTTTGACCACTCACTCTTACGTATTCGTCTTGCCCATGGTCTGTGGGACTTGAATGCGTGCGCAGGAATCGAAAATCTTCCTGTTTGTGCAAAGCAGCTTTTGCTGTATTTCGGTTCTTCCGAAAAATACTTGCTGGGCATTGTGGCCACCGACTGAGCCTCCGTTGTTTTGCCGCCAGGGTCTTGTCGTCGGCAGCGGTAACAACCGACAGGAACCGGTGAAAATGACCAACGGACTTCTAAAGCCCGCCGTGTGTCACAGCAGCAACAACGATGCACTGCGACCTCCACGTAGGCCGAAGGTGCAAATCTTTACACGTGTGTGACGTAGGCACAACACGTGCGCAAGGCATACGCCTCAGGAAGCTAGGAAACGCAAAACCATGTCATTACGATTCCGAGTCGTCGTCGTCGTAATAATACCTGGGCGCGTAGGCATTCTCGTCGTCCGAGGAGGCATCCATGTATGCCTCCGGCTGCACGTTGACTTCCACCCCGCCATCCATGTGGATCGTCAACACCGGCAAGGTTTCCAAGTCGGCAGTGGTCCGGGTCATGCAGAATTCGTTCGATTTGCAAGTCGCGTAGGGCTGTTTGGGGCAGAGGCGGGGAAGGAGGGGGGGGCGGGGAAGCAAGTGGGTCAACCGTTCCCAAATGCTCCTGGCCATGCTTCTTGTCGCGACAAACAACCCCGACAGCGGCAGAGAGGTGGGTGCAGAAGCGGCATCAGAACGGCGGCGCATCTGTGAAGGAGTCCTGTAGGTTAAGAGTATGGCACTTACAACGTACCTTGAACCGGAACCACCGTCTCAACAACTATCGATTTCCCTTTGCCCCACTCTTGCGCGGGCGGGGGGGGGGG